GTGTGTCTGCAATCAGTGGGTGCTCTGCACAGAACACAGAAAAGGCTATAAAAATGCTGACTAGTCTGAGAAAACCAACCCCAAATATATGACAGTGGGCAAAACCAAAATGAGTTTCTTATAGGCATTTAAGATTTTTAGCTCAAATCATGCTGTGTCTTATTTCTTCTTTGTAACAATATATAATGCTACCCGTGTGCTTGAGAGAGGGGCTTTTTAACCGCTGTTAAATTTCGAATTTGTAATTTTAGACCAGCTGAATTTAGATCTTAAAGCCACAGAAGAGCCCCCAGGGTTCTGAATTCCATGAAGTTGGTGGATGTGAAGGGTATATTTCATAGGAATCACAGGTTAAATGAGATACATGAAATGAAAATATTAAGTACGTGGTGATTGTTGAAGAGATTAATATCAACCCTCTTTAAAATTAATTTGGGTGTGTATTTACAGGTGACGTGTGTATGAGAAGGTCACACCAGAATTGCAGTAGCAAATCATGTCAAGTTTTACAGCTTCATTGTGCAGCATTGTAGCATCTTCTGTGTAGGGGTTTTAGTAACTTAGAAGCACAAAAAATTTATGTAATATAGTTCAGTGTCTTAATGCAACTTATTATTCCAAGGGGAGTTTTAGTTTAGAAGGTTCACAGTGCGTATTACAGAACCAAATTTTACACCTCATTATAATTAAAATGACATCCATCTTGGTTTTTTACTGTTTACCCATAAAATGCAACCCAAAGCTAGGAGTGAAAGCAAAGTTTGCACCCACCTAAATGGTAGTATTTCACAGGTGTTTTTTTCTCTTTTGCAAAAGATATGAAGATTGCTTTCACAGTGGAAAAAAAACCCATGTGTTCTTACTACTGGTATCTGGATTAAGGAATGAAACAAAGTTAATCACGACTTGGAATATCTGAGCAAACTAAACCCCTCAAGGCAGTGAAGAGAAGAGGGCCTCCACTGCAAAATTGACTCTGTGCCCTGCAAAAAAAAAAAAGCTTGGTTTTGCTTTTGGTCTCTCTTCCCATTTCTGAAAGTACATGATGTTCCTGAAAAGTAGCCCCATCTGAGATACAGGGTAGTGTCTCATTAATTCAGAATATAATAAAAAAAGGAAAACCTGGTCCTTTTCTCCTCCTGACTGACATGGCATCTTTTAATGTTCTTACCAAGCAAATAATTACTAGATTTTTTTTTTCCTCCAGAACATTTCTTCAAAACAAAAGTTTGCAGTCTGCAAAAGTTATTGTCTCTTGAAAAGATTGAGGAGATCTTTCAGAGTGTAGCCTTGTCCTGAATTATGGATTCCCAATTAAGTTTTGTGCCGGAGAGAAAATAATTTTAACGATTTCAGTTTTCTTGCCGTGTTTAGAGGTCAGAGCCACTTCAGGGCAGAACATCCACAAACCCTCCACAAAGAAGGTGCTGTTCCAGCATGGCTTCAGACCAGCCAGGGCAGGGCAGAGGGATTCAGGTCTGCCTACCTAGGTAAGTGCAGCCGTAATTATAGATGATTACCTTCCAGGTCACGCTTCTCAAACTCTCCGTACTGTTGATGTCTAACCCTGGAGACATGTACAAGCCGTAGTTGTCTGTCTGTCTCATATCTAAGTTCTCACCCTTCTGGGTGAGACTCTGCAGCTCATAAAGTAGATGTTCTTCATCCAGTCTTGCCCAGGAGCCTCACTTAGTAGGTATCCTCACAGCACGTGTGACAGGCTCCATGCAAAATTTAGGTTTTGTAGAAAAGGTGGTCAAAAGAACCATAGGTGGCATCCTGTACGACAAAATTACTCAGAACTTAGAGGACTTCTCTGGAACAAGAGATTTTCTTAGAAACAAGATGCCTCAGTGCATCCTAGTACTAGATTTTTTTTCTGGACCGCTCTGTGCTGTGCCAGTTTATCTCCAGCAGATTAAGTGTAAACTGTGAACATTTATGTGAGACAGGATAAAAATGTTGATGCAATAACTGCCTGTTCAGAAGTCACGTACTGGCTTTCTGGAAATCTGAAAAACAATGTCATGTGCCTGTGCAAGGAGACAAAAGCAGCGATGTACAATAGCTCTGTGCACGTGTACTAGCTCCCAGATACATACGACATGGATTTTGGCTTGTGTGTGGGTAGGTGTTGCAGAACACTGACTGTGGTGTAAATTCACTCTAACTAATTTCTCAATAGTTTCTCTGGGTGAGTATGTCTGTCGTTTTCACTGTCTGGGCTTTTCCACGCAACTCGGAAATTTGTTTGGTGACCTGGATAGTATAGACAGAGACAGCTTCTGCTTTCAGATTGGGAAAGGACTTGTTTGAGGTTTCTTCATCTAACGTAATAGCAATGGGCATTACAGGACCCTCTGGATGGGATCTGATGCTAAATAAATTCAGATGTGGAATACTATGCACACTGTTAATATGGAGGACAATTATCTTAGAATTCCCAAACTTAACTCATCTAAGTAACAGCAGTGGTTTGGTGGATATTGGCACCCACAGTGTGTGTCAACAGGGAAAGTCATGATTACTGACTGTGTGTCTATAGGCAGAGACATCCCATATTTGTTCACTCCACTATGTTCCTGGCCCTGTATTCTCCAGCTCCTTGTAGACCAGAATCTAAACCTGCATTTTTATCTACTCCTTTTAAGGTAGCTGCTGCATTTACAAGTCTGAATATAGGGCAATGGGAAGGTTTTTTTGTACTTGCACCCAGCTATGGAGTAACTCGAATTTTTTTTGCATGTGTATAAAAAAAACACATAGGCAGAAATTTGCAACAACTACTGCGTATTTTATTACCACCACCTCAAGTACTGAACACGATTTATGTAAGACTCTACACATATTTCCTGCTAGAACATGAACACATCATTAGTGCGGACACTTAACTTTTATTTAGAGCAAGATAAAGTGTTACAAAACACAATGTGACAGCACAGTAGAAATTATTCCTCCCATTCTTTTATCACTGCCTTCTAATGAATACCAATAGTCACATTCTCTTTTACCTAGGGTGGTTCAACCATTGCCACATGTCAGAAACCTTTAAACAGTTGTTTGGGGCTTGACTGATTAATTTGCAAGATGCTACATTATGTAAAGAATTAGAATTGCATAATTAACAGTTCTGTGTCAGCCAGAAAGACTGCCCACTCCATGCAAGGCAGATGTCTCTGCTATGTGAGAGTTCAGCTGTCTGCCCAACTGGTTTGGGGCTGCTGTTAAGTCACTGGGAAACACAAGGAAGACAAAACCCCAAGACTTCGCGTTTGCCACTGTGTTTGCGGGCTGAGACTCGCACAAAGTGTGCTAAGAAAAATAACTGTAATCTGAGAAGCCTCATCATCACTTATAACACAAATATCCTGTAAACTCTATTCCAGGGTCCCTTAAGGTGGAGAACTCGTGATTCGGGATTTAAGTCACTATTGCATTATAAAGGGATAGGATGGAGACCTAATGAGGACAGACTATACCATATCTGCCTCCTGCTTGTACCTTCCTCAAAAGCACCCAAGACTAGTAATTTTGGATTTAAAAAAAATACAAGAATTAAGAGAATCCTAAATCACAAGTAGGGCAATATTTCATGTACGTGGGCTTGGTTTTTTTCTGGGTCACCTGCAAAATTGATGTGACTTCATAGGAAACATGGCATTGCCTTCTCTTTGCTATTTATTACAACTGAGAACTCTTACCTCTTTACTGCACAGCAGGTCCTCTCTGAACATCAGAGATATTTAGACTTTGGCTCTACAAGACTAATATTTAAATAAGGTTAATTATGTAAACACCACCATTAAATGTAGTTTTAGAAACTCCTAATCTACAGCCAAACTTGGTGTTAACAATTGTTGTTGTTGTTGTTGTTCTCAACCCCAAAATCTTTTAATGCCTGTTGTTGACTTATGAATGAATTAGTTGAACAATGAGGTGATTGAATGACTGGACTACACAGAGGAAACTCTGAAAAAAACTGTAGGCAAAATACTGTTAATACGCAAGCTAAATTAACTGGACATAAATAATGTTTTCTTAATGTGTTCTTTCTTTACTCTGTTCTGGTGGTATTTTGATCAACAATGCTTTTAGTTAAGACAGACACATGAATTTAGCGTGTCAGTGTCAACACAGAAAATTTCAAAGACCAAGGACAATCTGAAGTTTTTGGGTAGTGATGAGACCGTTGAGATATACGTTGTGGAGAGATTGCAGACCTTGGAGCATTCTGCTGTTTTACTGTGTTAGTACACAAGTTGGCTCCATGCCTTGAAGGCAGGAATTACAGTTGAATACGAGATGTTAGCAAACATTTAATAGCAGCTTTTGGCTTTCCACGCAGGCTCCTTTACAGCTTTACATTTTGGCACTGTATGACATTATGAAGCTCCACTGTATGGTAAATGCAGGATTTACTGACGTTAGTGACTGATTAAAGGATTACAGAATGCTGAAAGTGCTTCGGTTTTCTAATAACGTCGCTGAATATTTGCTGCAGAAAAGCTGTCCGCAGCCTTCCTCGGATTTCTTTTCTGGTTAATCCCCATATTGACTCAGCAGTATGGAAGCAAGTTAGCAGCTTACCTTACCCAGTTCCTAATGCTCTGTGAAGGCGCTCACTTATTAGTCCTTTCTGTCGTTTTGCCATCTCATTTAACTGAATAACAGGTAATCTTCCTGAGTTTTTCTATTTATGCATATTTGTATTCAGTGAAGTAGTTTACAGCTCTCACAAGTAGTCAGACCTTCCAAAGGCAACTCAGAAAGGACAAGAAGGAACAGGGCTTTTATTCGAGGGTGTGTCGAAGTGTCTGGTGTGACCGTGGAAGAGGAGGGAGCTGTGGAAGCGTGTGTTTGGGCAAGGGCAGCCAACCAGCCCTAGAAGCCCAGGGAGTGGCTTGGAGTGGGACTGTATAACGGGCAGGCTGAGATGGTTCACCCACTGCCTGGACACAGACTGGTGAACCTCAGTGCTGACCGCACATCTACCAGTACAGATGGCTCCACAGACTGGCTCCACTGAAAAGGGGACGCAACCTGTTTCAGCCTTTCTACAGCATTTCACTTGGGAAGAAATCAGAAGCCACAACGGCCGCGGTCAAAGTCAGGAGCAATGGCTGGTGATTGACAGGAAGGTTTATGATGTCAGCAAGTTTTCCAAACACCACCCTGGAGGCAGCCGAGTTATTAGCCACTATGCTGGCCAAGATGCTACGGTAAGGTCTAGGAGGCTGGTGGAGGAAGGTGGGTCCATCGGCAGGGCAGGATGACATGGTGGGGCTCCGGTGGAGAGCGCTGGTGGTAACTGGCACCGTGCCGGGTCGGATAATGTACTGCACATGTCTGTGCCATCTGTAAAAATGCCCTTCTGGTTACCTTCAAGGTCAGGGTTACCCTCAAGATCAGAATTACCTGCTGTGCAAATTGTAAAGCTCTGTTTAAGTTCATTACCCACTGCTGTGCCAGAATTCTCTTCATCTTTTTTTGCTATGTATAGTTGTGTTACATCCCTTTGAAGAGAGAAGGGCCAGAACTACATGCAGTAGTCCAGACTGTGGGTACACTGTGGATTTATGTTGCATTACAATGACACTCTTCTGTCTTGCTCTCGATTTTTATTCTGCTAATCTTTATCATTCTTTTTGCTTTTAAAATGCTGCTCTGTTCATATATTCTGAGAAATAGACACTTTTACAGAAAACCACGACTGGAAGGTGTCTCAGAAGCTCATCTGGTTCATGACTTTGCCTAAAGTCAGGATGCAGGATTTTTTTCCAAGTACTCTTGACTATGCTAGAGCTCATAATTGTATATATATCGTGAGAATTATCTTCCTCTAGAGATCATAATTATATATATGTGTTGTGAGAATTTTCTTCCTCTGTGTGGCTTACTTTGCAAATATAGATAATACGCATTGCAGAACATTACACTGATGCCAAATGTTGGAGGTCAGGTGCGTTGCAGATGGTAGTCCTTAAAGTTAATCTCTCATAAGATGATAATAAGGGCCTAAGAGCAGGGAGGAGAAAAGACAGGTTGCAGGACTGAAAGGCTTGTGTTTCTGTGATAAGGATCTGTGATGCTGATACTGTGGATAGAACTGCTGTTTTGAAGCTGCAGTACAGATACTTACAGCTTGACTCAGTTTTTGAATTCCTCACAAGAGGGAGCTACATAAAAATGTATAAAAAACTGTAGGCTGAGGGGCACAGAATCATGATGGAAACATTTCCCCAGTCCACTGGGTCTGGACAGAGTTACTCATTTGTCACTGTGTCAAAGGGCCACTGGATATCTGTAGAAAGCTCAGCCGTCCAAAAAGCCACCTTGCTCTGACTGCTTCCAGCCTCAAGTACTCAGAGGTAGACAGTCTCTGAACAAGAGACCCCAGAGGAATGTCAGACTGCACAAGGGAAGTCCTCTGTCCTCTTCCAGGGGCTTAATCCTGACCAGATGTGTGCAGACTTTTTTTTGTGCCATGACAACCCACAAGGATTTTCAGAGTCAAAATCAGCAAGTACCTGGCTGCTCAGGCACTGAGGATTTTGTTATATCTACTCTTTCTGGAAGACAAAAGAGTATGGTCAGGCTCTTTACCTTTCTTCTGGAAAATTCACTGAGGACATGAATTAAAGAAGAGGTTTGGTTTATCTGGCATTTCATCCTTTATTCCATAGTTTATATTTGATTTTGAAATTGGTATTTCAGACGGTTCCTGGACAGACCTGATTGTGTCACTAGTGTTACCCGGTTCCCCAAAACATCAATCAGTCTGAAAACTGACAGGGAACTGTAAGAGATACCCAGGTAATCCTGCTGCGTATGGAGCTTCAGCAGATATTGCCTATGGCCCTAGTGTAATAAAGACAGGATTTTAAAAACATCATCCTAAGCATGGCAAAGACACACCTCAGTCGTTGACGTGTTTTCCTGCTCCTGGTTCCCATCCACAGGGCAGGGCTGCTGGCTGGAGCCTTCTAGGGAAGGACTGTGCTGAAACAAGCAGATGAAAGAGCATGTTTCCCTCTGCAAAGAGTTTTTCATCAAGCACTTTCATGTTCGTTACGAGCCTCACCCAGGTACTTTTGTGAAATCTAGTTTCTTGAAACCTCTCCAGCTTCCTTGGGCCAAGCTCCAGTTGACGGCAAAGAACAACAGGAGCAACCAAAGGGACAAAAATGGACAAAGGGAAGTGGATTATGTATTACATTAAAGACCTGGAAAAAAGAGAGGGTCAGCATCTGGTGTTTTGTCACATACCCTTTCTAACCCCCTTTGTGTGTTTTTCAGGATGCCTTTGTAGCATTTCACAATGATAAGACTCTGGTGAAAAAATACTTGAAATCTCTGCTGATTGGGGAGTTGGCGCCAGATCAACCCAGCTTTGAGTCTAATAAAAAAGTGAGTGTCCTAGAATCCAGCTGTGGGAACGGCTTGGGGTTCAGTATAGGAGGAGAGGGAAAATAAGAGTGCTAGCAGAAGTAATTTCTGAAGCAGCATGCCTGACGCTGTGCCATAGGCTGGGTGGTGGGGAGGCAGCTGGCAGTGCATGGAAACATGCACCGTCCCGGAATCACGAAATCCGCACCTGGGGTTGAGGAATGAGCCCTAGAGTCCCAAATTGTGGTCGGTTCTTCCCATTGTGATAGCTCAGTCACAGAGCTTGAGCAAGAGTCACAGCTTGTTTTCCAGTGTCAATGCAAAACCAAGATCTGTTGATCTCGTGCTCATTTTTGCACAGAGCCCCCTCTGATAGAATATCTCCATGGCTACTTTGGGATTCCTGGGTCTGCTAGGTTACATTTTCAAAGTAGACACTGCATTAATACTCACTTTACCCACAGAAATCACTTTTAGAGGATTTCCGTGAGCTGCGCTGCACCATTGAGAAGATGGGACTTCTGAGGCCAAATTACGTCTTTTTCTTCCTGATTTTCCTTCACTTTGTGGTACTGGATGCTGCATCCTGGCTCACGGTCTGGTACTTTGGGATATCCTTCGTGCCTTTCCTGGCTGGCATGGTGTTCTTCACCATTGCTCAGGTAAACTGCTGACAGCTGTCCAACGCTGCAGATATGTTTGGTTCTTCCAGATGGAGAGGATTAATGAAATGTGTATATCCCAGTCACTGCTTTTCTGCCTCTTCTTAGATCCTGTTATCTGGCTGAAGGCAACAAGCACGTTCTACATCACAATTTTTGTTGCCTCCAGTAAATCTTGTTTTGCTGACAAGCTGCTCACTAGCCTTGGTGGGGTGTTGTGGAGCTGGCAGGTTTACAAGATGGGGTGAGCTGATCTAATCACTTATCCCAGCAGAAGAGGGAATATTTCACTCTGAACTCCACTTTTGGCTCCATGTTCCTTCTGTTTACTGTCTGATGGCTCTGGTGTTTGTTGGGTCCTTTACGAGCCAATTACACTCACTAGCCCTGAACAGTTTTCTGCTGGATTAGTAAACTGAATCATAGAAGGGCATGATACATGTCAAGGTCGGTGTAGGGAAGGGGGGAATAGGACTTTGTGGCCTTTAGGTCGGAGAAATTGCAGGGAATTTATCTGGAAAAAGGAGGGGAGGAAGAAAGCAAGATTTTCTTACTTGCACTGAAACCTTAGGTTTGCTCAAACATCCATGGAACAAGTGCAGAGTAACTCACTCTTTTAAATAATTGGTTGTATTTGCCTAATATCTGCTAAGGCAGTTATTCATCAGAGAACATTCTTGTATTTCGGTGAGAATATGAAATGCGATGAAGCTATGGATTTGGAAATTCTTACACTTTCTAGCTGGTTACTAGGAAATTATATGTTTGCAATGGGAGCAAAAGACTTCCGTGCCATAACAGGCAAATTAATTGTAATGATGCTTTGCTGCTTTCCCTTTAGCTGCTCCAATAAAATCAATTTCTGGTATTGAGCAGCTTTAGTGGACAGTAGCCTGGAAGGAAGGTCTCAGCACTGAGCAGGTAAGACAGCAGGTCGTGTTTCTTCCCCAAACCAGAAGGAAGACACGCTCACACCATGACGTTACAGAGACTCCGGAGGCAGATGAATGCACTGCCCCTCTGATTCTGTTTCCTCAGTGATCCTTTTGTCTTCCAGATCCAGATGGGCTGGTTCCAGCACGATCTGGGTCACTGCTCTGTCTTCAGGAAGCCTAAATGGAATCGACTTCTGCAGATTGTTGTGATAAATGTTCTGAAGGTAATTGCCTCACGGTGGGAAGATTCTCTGGGGCTAATCTGGACTGAGCAATGATTGGGAGTGTCCCTACAATCAGGCAGTATCACCTGTGAGGAAAGTGTAGTGCAGCCATCAATAATAGGTGGATAAATAGTGATGCAATTGTTGATATTGTTCTAGTCTGAACCCCTGGTCTTCAACTTTTCCTGCAGGGATTACCAGCCAGCTGGTGGAATCACCTGCACAACCAGCACCACGCCAAACCCAACTGCTTCCGCAAAGACCCTGACCTCAACATGCACCCTCTCCTGTTCAGCTTGGGAAAGCCGCTCTCCGTGGAGGTGAGCATGGGGACGCCTGGAGAAGCAAAGGTTTTAAGGACAGAAAGCTATAGAGCGAGGTTTAATAACAACAACCCACACTGTGCCTTTCTGCAGAAACTCATGATAATTCCCAAAGTGTTCCACAGTCTGAGTCCCATGGTTATTATGATGCTTAGGCATCAGCTCCTGAGAAGCAAAGTCTTAAAATCAGTGCTTAAGTTCTCTGTGTTGATAGAAGAGCAGGGTAAGCACCTTGAAGGCAGGCCAAAGAATGAGTCAATCCACTTGCATTAGTGTTAGAAGTTCTTAGTGATCCTATAGATGGTAAGTCAGATGTTCTCCCTGGGTCCTTTTGGCTCTGGGAGCTGTTTGGCACCTAAATCCTTCAGGACCAGTATAGCTGCCACGCACAAAACACAAGTATAGCAAATTATTTCTTAATCACAAATTTTACGGCTTTCATAAAAATAAAAATCATGAACAGACCCTCCCTGCATCCTTATGACTTCTGATATCATCAGGATAGGCAAGGTCTCTTTTGCCCTCTCTTTCCCTGGCAGTAAACAGGGAAATTTCATTAAAAATTTCAGTAAAAAACAGTAAAAATTCTGTTTACTCATGGGGTGATGAAATGGCCTCTTTGCTAGATAACCAGCCTCTTAAAATAATGCCTCTCTCTCCTTTAGCTGGTAATAAGCAAAGAAATTCCAACTCTCCAAGGCATGAGGAAAATTCCGGCTCTGCTGTCTCAGAAAGACTCCTGTAAAGGGAGTTGGTACAAAATACTTATTCATAGAAAACTGTTAGTTGCAACTGGGAGGGATTTTGTCAGTGATCTTCCCAAAGCTCATTCATGGCTATATATTCATGTGAGCATCTAGAGTGAGCTGGCTGTGCTAGATTGGCTTCGATGGAAGTGAAAGTGTAGGAAATGAGTTCTCGTGTTTTCCTGCTTTTTAACAGAAAAGGGTCAGGCACCCTGTGGGTGGGCAAAATGGATTTCAGTGGTTTCATTTAGACCAGTTCATTTGTTTTGTTTCAATTTCAATCCCGTGAAGACATCTTTGAGGTGTTCAAGTTTTTTTTCTCAGTAAGAGGGGAGCTCTGGAAGTAGTTTGCTTTGCCTCATTATTTTGTCCTTTGAAGAATCACAAGCACAAAATTTGCAGATGATGTTAAGAATCCTTTTGTGCAAATAGTGAAAAAATGCACTGTGAAGAAATAAACTTGTTTGTGCTTTTTGTAAATATTTCATCTCTTTGCTGTTTCATGTACTTGAAGGCAAAGTACTCGGCCAAACAAAAAGGCAGATGTCTTTATAGAGTGTTCACTACTTTGATCTTGCGGAAATGATTTTACAGCCATTATAGGATAGCATCCAAATGCTCATGTAATTTCTGACCACTATCTCCTCTGTTACTCAAAAATCTGGAATGTCTGCATCCTATCTCATCTGATACAGAAATTCAGATGTAGCTTTCACAGCAAACACCTCCTGCATTCATCACCCACCAAGTTTCCTGGTTTTCTTGTTAATAACTTGTTCCTCCCTCAGCACTGATAGTCTCAGCACTCTATGGTGAATACAGGGAATTGGTTAGATTGGACTTTCATTACCATCACTAGAAACTTCTCCTACAAAATTCAAATGACCTCTGAGCATTTTTGTGATTTTTGAGCATTTTTGTATCCTGCCATGAGTTTTGGAACTCTCCTAAAAAAGGCGTCTGTTCTGACATTGGCATAACATTGATATCTGGATACAGAGGCTCAAATGAAATCTGCTCCTCTCCATTGCTTTGGAACTTCAGTACCTGCTTTTCAAGAAGAGGGGTTGAATTAGAGAGATCGAGATTAAGAGGTAGCTCTCAATGTATTCATTAGACAGGAATAAGAAATACCTTATGAAGGCTCTCAGGTCTCCAACTGGCCCATTACAATGTCTTTTCATTTTTCAGCTTGGAAAAAAGAAGAAGAAGTTCATGCCTTACAATTACCAGCATAAGTATTTCATCTGTGAGTATCCCCGCTTCCTTGCAGTGCTGCAGGAACTTCACCTAAAAATCCTGACCGCATCTCCTCCCCAAAATGAAGGTTTTAAAGATAATCCCATTGAACTCACAGCTTCAGGAAGCTTTCTTCATGTTAAAGAAGGTTCACATGAGGAGGAATTGCCCCTTATTTCTCTGTTAGGATTATGTGATGTTAGGTACTAGATAGGAGTGAATCAAATGTGAGGAAGAAAGTGATGGGAAAGAAATGAAGAAGTGGTGAGATGAAAAGAGCAGGAGATTATGTGGACACGTGAAAGTCAGTCTAAATGGAAGACAGCAATTTTTCTTCTACTGGAAAGAAGAATCTTTCTTCTTACAGCAGAATATTCTGTAAGTGTTATGATGCAGTGAAATTACAAATGTCTCTCTGTTTTCATTCTTTCCTTCAGTTTTGGCACCACTTGCAATTATACCCTTCTTCCAGCTGTCTATATTCTACTATGCAATCAAGAGGAAAAAGTGGTTGGTAAGCACTACTTGCATTGGCTAGAAAACTTTACAAAAATGTCACTGCTCCGTGGCTATATTAACCTTCAACTCAGGTGATTGGGGAGTTTAAGATAGAAAAGGCTGATTCTAGGCTTGCTGCAGCAGGAATGCAGCCAACGGATCCAGGGAGAAATTTTTAAAGGGGCCTTTTACCCTCTTAGCAGCTGAATAAAAGTTAACAGAAAACTATCAGACCTCGGCAGAGTGTGATTACAGGGCTGTTTCCTGGTCTTTAGTTACTGGTGGTAAAGTGGGAAAATATTTCTGTGGGAATATTTCAGGGATACACTCAACTTGAGGCAGAATGATGGTGTGGAGCTTACTTTTGATGAGTAAGGCATCACAGAAAGAACGTTTTTTATGCTGCGGTTCAAGTAAAGGGGAGAGGAAGGAGTGGAGAGAGTTCATCAACAAAGGCTTTTTTTTTTTTTTTTTTACAGGACCTGTTCTTGATTGTAGCTTTCAACATCCGAGTCTGTCTCATGTATATTCCTTTAATGGGATTTAACAATTTCATGGTATACTACTGGCTGTCCAGGTAACACGCAGCATACCCAAAGTCCCCATAACTAGTATTTGTAAACAATATTGAGCTTCAATGGAAATAAATGAAAGCTAGTCATACTCACTACAATTTTCTCAGAAATAAGTAGCCAAGAATAAACAGTATAAGGTCAGGGTGGTGGTGGTGGCTGCTCAGGGACATCTGCAACTACAGATTGAGGGGTTCTTGAAAGAAACTCCAAAAGTTAAGAGGCAAAGGGATGGAATCGAAAATCCTGAGTTACGTAGAAGTGCTCTTTTACTTAAGATGAGACTCAGGAAAGTGTTTTAATGGTAAATTTGGATGGGATTAGAGATTTGATAAGTGTTTCTGTGTTTATCTGCCCAGGTACCTAGAGAGTAACTGGTTTATTTGGGTGACGCAAATGAATCACATTCCAATGGACATTGATTATGATAAGAACAAAGACTGGGTATCTACGCAGGTGAGAATCCCCTTTCTTCTGGAGGAGTGGGTCTGCAGTTCTGCATTATAGGACAAAGACAACGTTGTTATTCTCTTACCTTTAATGCTGAGTTAATGAGGTTTGTCCCTGCCATTCATTAAATAGGCATGCATTTCTGTAGTTGTCAAGACATTTAAAACCTTAGTTGGAAACAGTACATCTAGATTAAAAAAACAAATCCTGTTTTTTCACTGAAAGGTTTTGACATATTTTTCACGACACTTTTCCCTTCCTATTATGAAAAAACACTGATGGTATAGCAGTCAATATCCTTTTTAGGCCAACTAAAGAGAAGCAAAGTGGGACTGGATACATTTATTTTTCACCCTACAGGTTACAGGTTTACTGCAGATAAAATAAATCTGACAAAATTTAGGTCTGATAAAAATGAATATGTAAATACAACCTTACTCACATCTCTACTACCTCCAGCAGTATAATCCCACATAGTGGGTTCTAAGCATTTTTCCTTATATTAAAAGACCCAGCCTGGTATTCATCTGACCAAATCTGGATGTCTACATCTGAACGCCTGCTACATTCATTGGAGAGAAAGAGCCATTTCTAGAGCACGATTCATCTTACTCTAATATACTTGTACTGGTTTGAGGAGGCCAGAAGAATGTTTTTTGTTTCTTTATTGGGCATCTTTTCTTTCCATCCAGGTGCGAGATGTAAGGAGAACCTCTTAAAAGAATCACAGTTGGGGTTGTGTGCATGCCAGCAAAGAAGCCTTTCTTTCTGAGCAAAGAGCTAGCTAAATTAACCTATATCCCAACAACCCATTTCAATCTAAACTTCGTTTAATTCTTCAGGGCAATGATGGCTACAATCCCTGACACTAAATTGCTTTTTATGCTAGATGAGGATGGGTAATGATTGAAGGGGTTCAATTATCAGACTTGCAGAAAAACTAAATAATTTCTTTCTTTTGTCTTTTTTTCCTCCCAGCTCCATGCAACATGCAATGTGAACCAATCTTTGTTCAATGACTGGTTCACTGGGCACTTGAACTTCCAAATTGAGCACCAGTGAGTATGATTATGGGGACAAGAGTGGGAATAATATGGGGCACTTAAAAGCAAGAAGGGCCATGTAGTCTCACTTTAAACCATCTCAGGAGACCCTTTGCTCTCCTTCTTGGGGAGGGCAGGGAAATATTTTGAACGGAGAGAATAGAGAGTGGTGCAAGTGAAGTCTGAAAATAACTCTCTCTTATTCAATACTGCAGCCTTTTCCCCACAATGCCTCGACACAACTACTGGAAAGCAGCTCCTCTGGTGAAAGCCCTTTGTGACAAGCATGGCATTGAGTATAAAAGCAAGACTTTGCTGACAGCCTTTGTAGATATTTTGCAGTAAGTATCAATTAACAAGATAGTTTTGCACTGTAATAGCATGCAAGGGGGGGGCATAGGCAACCATTTCAAATCAACATCCATGGAGAGATCAAACCTAGAGTTTATTTAGGTTTTTCTAAAGACACACTTAATTTTCAAACATTTTCAAAGTTTCAAAGATTTTTTTCTCTTCATTAAATCCTCTCAACTCATTCCCTGTAGTCAGAGTTGGCTACGAGATGTCCATGCGGTTTTCAATCCATTTTTTCCATTTACTTCTTTTTACATCTAAACTACAGTTGGCTTCCCATGAAGTTGAATATTGTCTTCCCATAAGTGATTTTTTACTTTCTGTTCTTGCAGTTCACTGAAGGATTCTGGGGAGCACTGGCTTGAAGCATATCTGCATGGATAGAAACCGGCAATGCTCAAAGGGAACCTCTTCACCAGACATCTGCTGCAAAGAGTCAGCACAGACCAACAGTGTGTGTGTGCACCTTCTGGCATAGAAACTCAGGACCTGGGCAAAGCTAATTTCAGTAAGAATGGGTGGGAAAGTGGGTTAAAGATACATTTTTTCTTGTTCCAAACCATGAACCTTTATTTTTCCTGCTCTTAAACTCAGCATTTAGAGCCATGATGAACTGGGCCTTTAAACCTGGGAGAAGTAGCTCTTGAATCAGCTTGATCAATTTACTTCATTGGAAGTGCCAGCTCGTTGCTTATGGAAAAGGTTTGAAAGGAAATCCTTCACAGAGTCATAGAATCACAGAATGGTTTGAGTTGGAAGGGACCTTAAAGACCATGTAGTTCCAACCCCCCTGTCATGGGCCGGGATGCCTTCCACTAGACCAGGTTGCTCAAAGCCCCATCCAACCTGGCCTTTACATTTTCTAATGTCATTTATAGCTAATATAGTCCATTATGAGACAGTTGAGCCATACTGGCAAAACCTATATTATGCTGTATTCATTTAAGCGACCTAAACCCATGAAGGTAGTCTCTAATGGCAAATAAGTAGACAATTTGCCCATAAAGGCAAGGGCCATGTGGAAGAAAAGTGGTTCTTCTCCTCTGCCATTCACATCCAGAACTCTGTGCCCCAGCTTTCAGTGGACAAACCACCCAAAGGAGGAAAATGTGAAAGATCTTAAAGTGTGATACCACCATGAACAAGATGACCCATCTGCAACCCATTGATAAGCAACTTACATGTATTACAAGCTACAGACAACAGCAGCCTTCTTCTAGGTAACAAAAAATATCAAGCCCAACACACAAAGCGAAGGAGTTTGGACTTTTTATTTTTGCTTTTTTTTTTTAAGAACATCTCCATTTATTCTTTTGATTTATATTTTTTGTGTGTGTTGGTGCAGGTACTAATAACAATGTTCTGGTTATTTCCTAATAATAGCTGACAGATGCCATTGAAAAGTGTTCTGATTAAAAAAGTAGTTATTAAAAAACTGCTTTGAATGTTATTTGAAAATCCCTTCTAATTCTAACTAGTACCTAGAAAAATTCTGTGTTCCCATATCCAAGGTTGGTTAGAATGGTGATTATCCACAATTGTGTGCAACAGTAGTAACATTTTATAAGTATTTAAGTGAGAGTACTGTCTTAAGATGAATGCAGGGATGTCGCTGCATGCCCTATTTGCTAATACATGAACACATTTTAAAATGGATGTCTTGGTAAAGGTAATATAAATATTAAGGCTTCCTACTTTTTTTACCAGTGAGACTTGAAAGCTGTGCTGAGTAGAGCCTGAGTCCCACTGAAATCCTCTAAATACAAGAATGACACAGAATGGTTCTTTCTGGTGTCAGCCTCATGAATCAAACTGATTATTTGTTGCATTTAGTTAGCATTCTACTCATTTGAACGTAGTAATTTGAGTCGGTCTTTTTGCAACCTCATTTTAATTAAAAAGTTTCTGTCTCTTTAACTGGTTCAGCAGGCTCCTCTGTGTGAATAGTCATTTCTTTATCTGCTTCATAAAGGTTATTAACAATTAAGTTGGTTTACCTTTATCAATTTCTAACATAGTTCACAAACTTCAAGGGGTCAGGGTAACACCTGATGAGAAGTTGGCAAGCTACTTTGTTTTGCATTCGCACTGAGGTCTCTAATAGTCTGATCTTAATGAGTAATAATTGGAAATTGCCCCAGCTGTAACACTGGTATAGAAGGAAAATAAAATGTGCACAGTGAAAGCTTCTTCAGCAGAAAACTTATGTGACTGAGAGTAAGAAGATTGAAATTTGTGCTTAAACAGTCTTCTGGAGACTGTAATCTTATTCATCATGTTTTTCATAACTGTAATGTTCCCTGAAAGACAATATATGCAATCTGGAATATCTGGAAGAAACAAGGAAATTAGGGAAATAGTTTGCAGAATCCTGCTTGCTTCAGAAGTTTGTGCTGAGATTCTGCTAGTAGTGACTTTTCTTATTCAGGTAGAGCAAAAGAGCAAATGAAATGTGGCACAGTCACTGACAGCTGTTCAGAATCAAATTATGCTTGTGCAAGTATAGCGTGTCATGCAGAGTAATGCAGCATGCTTTTTATTCTGCAGCAATCATATGCCCAGCTTCTCACAGTATTTCAATGTTTAATTCTAATTGAAATAATGGGAACTAAACCCCTTGATATTGTCCAGCTTGTATACCCAACTGTATTTGCATCCTCAAAGTTCCTTTGCCTTAATTCAGGGATTTAATGTAACTTTATATTCATAATTAGTCAGCTTGTCAAACAAAAATATTTGTTTCAAGTCCTTAGCTTTCTGAATGGTCAAAATTTCAAAGAAACCAGAGAATTTTGAGAAAAAATATAATCCAAAGGCCAACCTCTACTAAAATGTAGTTTTGAAGAAATATCAAACCCAAAGCAAGTCTCCTGGATCCGCCATTTCAGTAATCTTACAGATAAGAGTAAATATAAGAATGTGCAAATAAGGTTGAAGATCTAGGTCATATGTCTGGAAGTCTTTCTGGTTTTAAGTGATCAGAGTGAAATGCAATATTCCAGAAGATTCTTTAAACTGATGTGCAGGAAGAACTAAACCACTTACATTCCTTCTCTTTCTATTCTAAACACCAAGTCACTTCTTCAAGCTGCTGTTCCCTTCATCTCTTCTTCTAACTGACTGAGCAGAGTCACCTCTCACAACAAGCTTCTCTCTCAAACTGGTAATGGACCCTCTGAGTCTGTCTCCCTCCCACCATCCTCAAATACTTCACATACTTGATGATGTTTAGGCTTTTTTAATAAGAAATATAGACAATCTTTTCTAGTAAAAGGAGGAAGAATGTAATAAATCTGTTATTTCTTCTTCCACCTACTTTCTTGTTCCCATATTACGCAACTGTATTTCCCATTCACTTCTCAGCTTTTCTCTCACTCTCCTCTTGGATAATTTTACTCATTGCCTCCTTCAGCTCTTTTCCAAATGGATTTCCATCAACCTCTTTCCCGCCTTCAACTCGTGAATATTTCCTGTCTCCTCGCGATTAGACAGACTCGAGGCTTCCTACCCTGTAGGTTCTTTGAAAGATTTGAAGGATGCTGACTTGGTGGCTGGTTGTACAGATAAGTAATGCCAATGAAGCTGCAGCAAATATACTTACACAGACCAAAAAGGATTATGAAGCTTTGGGGATAAGGATAAGCTTGGCTTAAAGCTTATTTCATGACGAAGGGAGGCATATGCGGTTACATTCCCTCTCCTAAATTTATATCTTTGCTTTTGTTCTTCACTCAGGCTCTAGATTTAGGGGTGCAACTGGATAAGATGTTTTGTGTGAAATCTGACTGAAACAATTTAGAAATGGAAAGAACAACTCCCTTTTCTACTGGTGTCTTGCTCTGTGTGGCAGGACCTCAGCTTAGCACCTGCCCTCTTTCCTCCCACCAAAGGGTAAAATGATTCCCATAAAAAGCTTGTGCACTGACTCCTCTTGCCACCCAAGCCTGCAAAAAAATGCTAGAGTTCTTCAGTTGCATAAAGTCTTAAATAATTGATTGGTGGCCAACTTGTTTGTGGCCTGACCTGAAGGAGATTGCAATATATGTATATAATGTATATCTGTTAAAAGACAGTCAACCAGAAATAGAGGTGATATCTACAATGAAGTCTGATGACACAGGCGACTATATTTCAGCTTACCACCTAAAAAGCCTTTTCTTCAGGTGTTGCCTACTGCTGGCTCAGTAGGTGTGTTCTGTTATTGCTCTAAAGCTCTTTAAATGCTGAGCTATGCTGCTGTGCATGTACAGAACCGCCTCAGTCTGAGCAATTTCCATCTTATCACCCACCTAAGGGTGGGGCGTATTCGGTTTTCCTGTCTGCCGTATCCCCAGAGGGGCCTGATGCCATAGGCATGCTCGGAACACGCTTGCCATACTGGCAGGACTGTGCTTTTCAGAGAATATTCATGTTTGCTTTCTTTCTAAAATAGAGCTGGAAGAGGTGACCCTCCACTTTTTCATAATGCGGCGGTTATACAGTGGTTATGGCAGTATAATTGCGGAGGTTCAATTCTCTCCCTAGCAAAAGTGATTTGAAGCCATAATGCCCACCTCGCACCCACATAGGGACTGGATGGTGACATGTTCCCCCCGCCTTGGAAGGTGTACCACAGCGCAGCAAAGAATTCAAGACTGGCAGAACTGGCCTCTCGTTTATGGCATTTCTTGTCTCGTTCTCAGAATACTTCTTGGGCAGGAATTCGATCCCCGTTTTAGATGCTTTCTACGCCTTAGATTCAATGGCTACTCGTAATTGCAAGCGCAATTTCCATCCTTTGTAATTGCATTCATAAGAGCGATACGGTATCTAAGCTGTTATCTTAGGCAGCCTGGGCCTTTCAGTTGTACTTCAGAGCCCGCCTGTGCTCAAACTCCACAAGGGACTAGAAAATGGTGTGCCAGGACCGAGGCAGTTGTTCCAATGTTGGGTTTTGGTATCCTTTTTGAGGAAATTGCTATCAAGGGACATGCCCTGTGCACACACTGCAGCCTGAGAAGCACTGTGATGGGTCTCTGGCACCAAGAAGCAGCAATTTAAAATCAGGATAGTGCCTCTACTGTCTCCCCTTCTGCAGTCATTACTGCCACCTAAAATAAAACAATGTGCCTTGAATACTAGAGGATGAATAGTCTTGTGCGTTAAGTCCAGGAGAAACTCAGAGTAAGAACCAGGGAGATTACTGGAGAGCCTGCGGAAGCTTGTGCAATATGAAGTGGTAACTTTCATAATGCTGTTGTAAGAGCTAGTTGGAAACATCTGTTATGGTATATGATGTCTTCTGTTACACAGGGCTGGTAGAGTCAGCTACAAGTTGGGCTCTGCGTGTACAAGTTCAAGTCTGAATGAAGCCAACGTGCTAATTCCCTGCTTCTCGACGATGTGTTTGGTGCTGAACATG